AAACGTCCTATTGAGATTCCCTTGCTGAGACTTCTACCTCAACCTTTTCCGAATGTATGGAGCAGCTTAAGCGATTTTAGCACTTGAGTAGACGTAAATAGAGGCAGTTGTCGAAGATGCTAATTTTCGCTGAATTCCTTCATAAATTGGCAGCCTTCATAAAATTTCAGCACCTTCCGGGAAGCTCAAATCTTTTTCTACACGATTGCGTTTTCCTCTTTTGAAACGGTCTCACACTGAGGGGTATAACCCTTCAAATGCAAGTTGCTTTACATAGTGGGGGCCTAGGAAAACGCGCCCCAACAAACAAAGTGCAGACACGCGCGTATTCGGTATTCAAATGGCATGGCTGCCAGTTCCTCCCGCACGCGCGAATTTGAACACAACATTAGGCGAGGTAGAGTGTGCAAAATACGCCTAACCGTTGCATTTTCCAGCAAAATGTAGAAAAATAATTGAAAATAGCTCGAGCAATGGGTTATAGTTGAATCTGGCCAGAGGATCGTGCAACATATAGTGCATTGTTACTTCCGAAATTCTAATGACGTCAAAAGAAAGAACCTGACGCCCCTTATCCAATCTTATCAGATGCTGGCAGTTTTTGTCACCAACCTAGTGTTCCTTTCCTAAACCCTACATCGTATCTTGGAACCAACCTCCTACTGTTGCTGTGACCCGCGTGATGACCATACCCTTCTAACATCCCTCGAATCTTATCAGCAGCTGACAGTTCTCGTCATCCACCAATAATGTTCCTTTCCCATACCCTACATCATATGTTGGAATCAACACCTGGCTGATGCTGTGATCCGCATTACGAATATGGCGAGAGTTCCCTTCTGAGGCCTTTACCGACATATTAATCAACTGATATTACTCCCTAATCACATACCCCATGGTGTTCCCGTTCACACCCTCTAACGTCACCATCTTGACCAATATCTCGCTGCTACTGGACCCGGCGCATGATTTCGTGTCAAAGAGACAGATCGCAACACGCACGACCATAGTTGATTTCATATGTAGTAGAATTGTAACCGTTGTCCCAATGTAACGCTGAAATCTATCCTTTTGTCCATTCTTTTCTCGGGGTTAGTACCAAAAATCTCCATAACCCTCACACGAAAATTCAGTAACCTGTAAGAGCAGCCTTCGAAAGCATCCTACCGCTCAATGCGTTCTCCACCACTGTAGGGGTTTTTTTCTGGAATGCACTCCCGCATTCGGCAGTCTTGCGCTTCGAATGGTCCTCTCTCGGGTTGTTGATGGAAGATAATCATGGTCATAGTGATAAAGTTAGTTGCTGCAGTTCATGGCAGCTGAGCAAACAACCGGCATGCATCTGAACTCCAGTTGCTTTAGCGGCCGTACATGATGTCGACAGCGGTAAGAGCAATGGTTGGTGATTGTGTACGAACTATTGGAGAGCTGAATCCTGCATACAAGTCGCATGTGGGCAGTGACGGGTGTTGCGATCCCGCATGAATGACGCTATTCAAACCCTCATCAGTTGCTGTTACTAGTTAGTGTCACCCGACAGTGGGTTCCCGCCCTCCCCCCTATATACCACTTCTTTGAGCCAAGGTCCCACAGACCCTGCAACCTGCCCTACAAAGTTGGTCACCCTCACATCTAAGGCCCCTTATCGAATCTTATCATATGTACAGCTAATGTCTTTATTTTATTTATTTATTTTATTTGCGGCCATTACCGCACTACAACTAAAACAGTCAGTTAATCAAAACAGACACAACATTTGTAGAAACAAATAAATAGTGAAAAAAAAACACACACCAATCAAGTATACTTCCCTTACCCTATACCACATCTTGAAATCAAGGTCCCACGGTCGCTGCAATCTGCGCTAAGGATTTGGTGACCGTCTAGGGTCCCTTATCGGATCTTATCAGATGTTATCAGCTCCTGTCAGCCACCACCCTACCGTGTATATCACTTCTTGAAATCACGGTCCCGCAGCTGCTGCAACTTGCCACGAATTCGGTTACTTTTCCCCTTTCTTAAGGCCCTTATCGACATCTTATTCAAGGTGTTATATCACCTACCTGTCAGCCCTACCAAAAGTGTTCAGCCGTCCTTCCTTCGTACATCACTCCTTTGAATATAAAGATCCGCTAGCTGCTGCAACCTCGCGCTACATTTCGGGTCACCTCCCCTTCTAAGGCCCTATCGATCTTATCAAGGTGTCTATCACGTCCTGTACTACCAAAAGTGTTCCGTCCTGCCGTGTAGTATCACTTTTGAATTGTCGGCCCTATCTTTTCTGCCGAAGACGTTTTGCTAGCGTTTGCAGCGGCAGGGGCGTAGAGACTATGGGAGAGCTGGAGGGTACAAAACACATCGATTGCGCGTCTCTCACTCGCCCTCAGTCTCTACAATACACATCGATTCCGCGTCTCTGACGGCCACATAGTCTCTACTCCCCTGCCGCTGCAAACGCCAGCAAAACGCTGGTGAAACGCTGGAGAAACGCTGGCGTACGCTAGCTAGCGCTGGTGACGCTGGGAACGCTAGATCGATATCCATCCTCTCCCCGGCACTGCCGCTGGCGTACGCTGGAAGCGCTACGCTACGCTGCCGCAAAGTATAAACGCAGCCTTATGGTGACCATCAACTGTGAAGGTCACGAATTATTTACTTCCTGGAACAGCGATAGAGGGTGGCTTGAACGAGGTATTCTCCGACATAAATAAAGGAAGTTGCTGTCGAATAGGTATGGGGACAGCATGAAAATCTGGAAATCTAGTGTGGAGCGCCATAAACAACAATAAAGCATGAATATAATCTAACTGCTTCAGCTTCAAGAAGTTGTAAACGGCACACTTGAGCAATGAGCTGCTTTTGAACGCAAGTAACGCCCTGTCAGTGTCTGCCCGTTTGCTGCTCTGGCCTTTTCCCAACGGATAAAAACGCGTTAGTTCCTCGCCTGGAACAAGAGGGAACTTATTTGGGCGTTTTTATTGTTTCGTGTTATCGCTAGAGGTGTAGACTGCGGTGTCTTCATGAGCGCACGATAGAATCGCCGGTTTCCCTTCGAAGTAAGACAGTTCGGAACCATGGTGTACAGCAGATTCAGAAAGCGACTGCTCGCTGCAGCAAAAAAGACTGCACGAAGGGGATTCGTTCCGGGCCTGAATATGTGGCAAAGGAGAGTTCAAAACGAGCCTGATATATTCTGGGAGAACTGTTCGTGTCGATGTAGCAATCTGCTCTCTTCTGGGGAGAAGAACTCCAGGGAACGCATATGTACCAGAGACCGTTTCAAAGTCACTGACGGTGTGAGCTGGAATAGCATCCAAGCCGACCTGTTTTCCCAAAGTCATCGATACCACCTAAAGCCACTCAGAAAGCTACCAGAATGCCATTTGCAATGCCACTGTGATGCACTGGGTTCAGAGTGCCCTGTAGCAGAGAACTGTACTTTTATGGCGCAGTTCGGCTCAGTTGGGAAAGCATTTCGCTGGTTCCCATTGAGCACTGCCCATTCCTCTCGTAGAGGCCTGTAGATCCCTGTGAGGCTATGCAACAGCAAGAGCTTTTTTCATTTTCGACAAGATCCTCCAGGCTCCACCAAGGTGTAACAAGCATACAACAGAAACTAGCAAAGGGATCTAGCCAGAGTGCCAAGTGCTCCTTCCAAGCCGAACGGCGAATATTTTACAACAACCATCATCGTGCACGATTCCTTCTCTCTCAAACTTTTTCCTTGATTTTGGTCTCAGAAGGATGTGACCGCTGAAATCGACTCAGTCCAACAAAGCTCACACGATTGGAGTGGGGCGGTGGAGCGTGCGGGGAGGACGGGGTTGGGGGGGGGTGCGGGGGGGGGGGGGGAGGGGGGGTGCGAGAAAGGTAGACTTGGGAGCGATCCTGTTGCCTGCTTCTGACTTCCTAGGTCCAACTGGAGATTCCGAGCAACTGTTCGGAGGCGAAATTTATTATTTTCACAGTTCCCTAACAGTATAGCCCAATGACCATGTAGGGCACATTTCTGAGGCCCTCCATATAGGGTTTGTTTATTGTTTACATTTTCACGTTCGTACAATGACTATCTGGATCTGTCTGTACACGAAAACTTATTTCGTACACAATTTTATGAAGTTAAAATCGAATAAATAAAATAAAGAAGTAGATTTTACAGTTTCTCACAAGGGAGCGTAGCGATCTGCACATCTTTTCCGTGGAAGATTTATTATGTGCTTTAACTACACTATTCTGGTACTCACTAATCACCAGTACTTGCAGATACGTTACCGGTCCAGTCCGTTACCAGTTACTGGGCGTTTGTATCAGAATGTATGCATGTCACTTGCGTTTTGCCGCTCCTTTGTGAAGTGTAGCGGAAAGATTTGGGACGTAACTGGGCGAAAGAGCACGTTTTGGACATGGACAATAATGACCATCAATTCCTGGAGGTCCTTCAGGCCCAAGCACCCCTGGCCGTCCTCCGGGTCCTTTTGATCCTGGAGTTCCTGGTGGTCCAGGTGGACCCATCGCTCCCGGCATTCCGCCAGCTCCATCAGATCCATCTGGTCCCGCAATGCCAGCTACCCCAGGCGGCCCCATCGGTCCAGTTGGTCCTCGCACTCCGTATCCACGTTGCGCAGGGAATCCCGGAGATCCGGAAGCTCCGACAGGTCCTGGCTCGCCAGGCGGTCCTATATCTCCAGCCAAACCTGGAGGTCCTGGAGGTCCATGACCGCCATCGGGACCTCTTACCCCAGGTTCGCCGTCAATACCAGGCAGACCGCTGGGACCATCTGGACCAGGTGGTCCTGGAGGTCCCATCGGACACTGGACGCACCCAGATGGTTCAGCATAACTTATGATAACAATGCCATCATGGCCTCGAACGCCGGGAACACCAGGCAATCCAGGCTCTCCAGGTAGTCCTGTCTCTCCCAAAGGTCCTGGTGGTCCTGCAGGACATCGCAGCGGTGTGGGACCACAGTGACACACTTGACGTCGTTCCCGTGCTCTCGATTCTCTTTTGGTTCGGAATATGTCGTGAGGCTCCGGTCGCATCTCTTGCCAAGCTGTGTTGGCTATTTCCTGCAAAGGCAAACTCTAAACGTTGAGAATGGCTCAGTGAGGTAAAAACCAGTTATAGGGCCTCACCTTCACTTGATCCAGTTGAGTTAGAGTATCTGCATAGAAGCTATTGATATCGCTGAGAAGATATCCAACAATGATTAAGCTGACGATCGTCGTTACAGCTGCAGTTGCCATGACGCCGGCAGCTACAGCTGTAGACGACGCCATTCTTTTACCTGGAATTCCAAAATCTAATTTCGAAACCAAGCCTTCTACCCTCCGGGGACGGTAAATTGGTACCAGATTCGTCTGGGAGGATAAAACACTGACTTGTACATCGGCTGGCCACCGCAAGTCATTGTATAGGCCACATCGCATTC